CTTGCATGTGCACATTCTTATACTGATCATTGTTTGCAATATACAGTCTTGCATGTGCACATTTTTATACTGCTAATTGTGTGCAATATACACTCTTGCATGTGCACATTCCTATACTGATCATTGTGTGCAATATACATTCTTGCAAGTGCACATTTTTATACTGCTATTTGTGTGCAATATACACTCTTTCAAGTGCACATTATTATACTGATCATTGTTTGCAATATACACTCTTTCAAGTGCACATTCTTATACTGCTCATTGTGTGCAATATACACTCTTGCATGTGCACATTCTTATATTGCTCATTGTTTGCAATATACACTCTTGCATATGCACATTCCTATACTGATCATTGTGTGCAATATAAACTCTTGCATGTGCACATTTTTATACTGATCATTGTGTGCAATATACACTCTTGCATGTGCACATTTTTATACTGATATTTGTGTGCAATATACACTCTTGGATGTGCACATTCTTAAACTGATCATTATTTGCAATATACACTCTTGCAAGTGCACATTCTTATACTGCTCATTGTGTGCAATATACGCTCTTGCATGTGCACATTCTTATATTGCTCATTGTGTGCAATATACACTCTTGCATATGCACATTCCTATACTGATCATTGTGTGCAATATACACTCTTGCAAGTGCACATTCTTATACTGATCATTGTGTGCAATAAACACTCTTGCATGTGCACATTCCTATACTGATCACTGTGTGCAATATACACTCTTGTATGTGCACATTCCTAAACTGATCAATGTGTGCAATATACACTCTTGGATGTGCACATTCCTATACTGATCCTTGTGTGCAATATACACTCTTGCATGTTCACATTCCTATACTGATCATTGTTTGCAATATACACTCTTGCATGTGCACATTTTTATACTGCTAATTGTGTGCAATATACACTCTTGCATATGCACATTCTTATACTGATCATTGTGTGCAATATACCCTCTTGCATGTGCACATTCTTATACTGATCATTGTTTGCAATATACCCTCTTGCATGTGCACATTCTTATACTGATCATTGTTTGCAATATACAGTCTTGCATATGCACATTTTTATACTGCTAATTGTGTGCAATATACACTCTTGCATATGCACATTCTTATACTGATCATTATGTGCAATATACACTCTTGCATGTGCACATTCTTATACTGCTAATTGTTTGCAATATACACTCTTGCAAGTGCACATTCTTATACTGCTCATTGTGTGCAATATACACTCTTGCATTTGCACATTCTTATACTGAGCCATATGTGCAATATACACTCTTGCATGTGCACATTCCTATACTGATCAATCTGTGCAATATACACTTTTGGATGTGCACATTCTTATACTGATCATTGTTTGCAATATACGCTCTTGCATGTGCACATTCTTATACTGATCATTGTTTCCCATATACACTCTTGCATGTGCACATTCTTATACTTATCATTGTTTGCAATATACACTCTTGCATGTGCACATTTTTATACTGATCAGTGTGTGCAATATACATTCTTGGATGTGCACATTCTTATACTGCTCATTGTTTGCAATATACACTCTTGCAAGTGCACATTCTTATACTGCTCATTGTGTGCAGTATACGCTCTTGCATGTGCACATTCTTATATTGATCATTGTTTGCAATATACACTCTTGCATATGCACATTCCTATACTGATCATTGTGTGCAATATACACTCTTGCAAGTGCACATTCTTATACTGATCATTGTGTGCAATAAACACTCTTGCATGTGCACATTCATATACTGATCATTGTATAGTGTGGTGTCATGTAGCTGGAATATTGCTGTTTGCGGTGTAACAACAAACAAACATTAAATACTAACGGGATCGTGTGGTCTGGCTCGTTGACATAGCTGATGCATGAAATCGTATCCCAGTTGCGGAGAACGTTTATGATGATGTCCATCAGTTGATTATTTGGGCCGGAATCGTATATTAACAGACGCCGTCATATAGCTGGAATATTGCTGAGTACGGCGTTGTTACAGCAACAAACACATAAACAAAATAGAAATGGTATCTCCTTGTAGGAGTCTACGACTGAAACAGAAAAAGTACATCACGGTATGTTTTATTACTCTTCTAGTCACATCCTAGCGTCACGTCACGTAACGTCACTATATCCTATCATAAATATCGAGTGTAAATATCACTTCACTTATTTCTGTTTATTTTTAATTCAGTTAAAAATGGTAAAATTGAAATGCTGCCTCATTGATGACAGCCATTTTAACGCCAGAGTCGATTGTATGATTCCTACTGTATCATGAGCATGTGTTTTTGAATCACCATCAAATAGTGATGATACCAGTTCGTGATGAAGCAAGCGTGTCCTGCCCCATCGGTGGCATCCGTCACAAGCACATGCAAACACATAATAGATACGTGAAATACTCTCCTGAGTGACGTTAAACAGAACTTAACCTAACTTACTGACTAACCTCGAAAACAAACGAATTCGATGCAATGTAGCTGAAATGCTTTTTGAAGCGGAATTTAACTTAACCTAACTTACTAATTCAAAGCAATGTAGCCGTTTGAGAAATGGGCTTCACACATTGTACCCATGTGAAAAATTGGCCGGTACTTTCAGTGTAGCGAGCGAACGCTTTAACTACTAGGATATCCCCACCGCGCCACAAGACAACTCACATAATTGCTTTACGCAATATCGAAGCAATTTCACGGGGGGACACCAGACAGGTGCTTCAAACGGTGAACCCATGTGGGGAATTGAACTCGTGTCTTCGGCTCCTCGGCACCCAATCACCCGACTAGACAACTCACTAGATCTACGGGATCAAGCACATACTCCACGAGCTGACCACCTCGTACAGATCCTGATACACAATAGTACGTCCGCAGTCCGTGAAGTGAAGGACTCCCACCTGTCCGTAGGCATAGCTACCGGTATACATGCTGTTGTTGTAGAACACAAAGGTCCGAGGCTTGACCTCCAGCTCCATCACCTCTGTGACGTTAGTACCGCCAGGACGCATTTTCATCACCTTCCTCTTCTCATTGAAGTAAAGTCCGGTCGGACCTAAACTAACCGCGAATATATCAGTACTGCTGTACAGCGTCAATACCTTGGAACCATCATAGCTGACGTAGATTAGATTTAAGTAACATGCGGCATAAACGATCTTGTTAAGGGGATCTACAGTGATGCTCTGGGGGAACCTCCCAACGAAGGATTCATTGACGAGGCTCGTGAGCTGACGTCCCTGCGTTGTCATCCTGCTGATGGTGTACCGAGGGATGTGAGTCGTGAGGAAAAGGAGTTGTCTCCCCTCGTCCACCGCCATTCCATATGTTAAAATGTTCCTCTTGAATACATTCATTTTCGAGCCGTCTAGCGGAAAGCGAAAGATTCTATTTGGGTGCCTTGTACCGATCAGTATTCTTCTCAACCGCTGTACATATACAACGGAGTGAATCCATGACCTTGTTATTGCCGGGTAAGGTTTGAGCGTGTTGTTGTTTAAGTGAAGTTGCATGCTCTCCTGCCTGTTTGAAGATAATGGAACAATGATAATACGAGATTTCTGTGACGTCTTTGTCGGCGTGAACATCGTCGACGACTCCTCGCAGTCTCTACGTGTCGTGTTGTCTTCTTTTACGGAATTATTTCCTTTCAGCTTCGTTACATTGAGTTCAGAGTTCATTCTATCCATGTTACCCAATGCCTTCGTTAATACAGTCACATTGTGCTCTATTTCTCTCAGTGCTTCACACTTGATTTGCAATTTTTCAATAGTTTCTATAGAGATTGCTCTTTCCTGCTCGACTTGTCTAACACGCCTCGTTAATGTGCTGATGTGGGCCTTTAAATACAGAACAGAATCTTTCAAGATGTTGTCCTCTCTTACCTGTCTACCAGAGGCGCTCCCATTACAACTGTACTTTGAAAGTTGGTCTCTGATGTTGTCTCTTTCCATCTCTGCTCTCGTAGCGTGTAGAGTCAATATGTCCACTTGAGCTTGTAGATGTCCAACATTGGATTTCAGACGGTCAACTTCACCCAGAAACATTCCGCGGATGACCTCTTCAATAGATCCGTTTCTGAGAATCTCAGGAAGAGCATCTTCAACACGTGACTTGTTGTAGCTGTCGGCCTGCCTCGGTTCCTCTTCAGTAACGTTGCTGCTGGTACAGGTATCAAAGAGGACCATGGTCACACAGACAAGCTGTAAGGGTGACGGGGCCATGGTGGCTGCAACAGCCGTGTGATATCACTCGATAGAGAGATGGTGGGATGAGTGGACAACAGGAAAACACAGCATCAGCACATCGGGGCGAAGGAGAGTCGGAAGTGTGTGTCTCAAGTGGAAGTTACAAGTATAGGGGGAACGTCGCAATGTGGTTAACAGCCCGTATGTTTCGTGCGAAAGAAATGCTTATAGGTTCTGTCCAATTTGATTATGCTAATAGCTCGGTTAATACTGCATGCTGGATGTACCTTTCATTGGGCATCGTGCTGCACGTGCTATCCATTCTATAAATAAAAGAAGGCGGGGAGCACACTTCCAAACATCAGGAATGTTGAAAGTTTAAACTTATTCATTACCAGCCAAAAAATCACAATTAAGAAAAAACTTAAATTATTGTATCTTTGCCTACAGGCTACCTGTGTACCTGTCAAATCGGCGCCCCAGGCAATGGCTGCACAGTGCTGCTCCCACACCGGGCTGCAGACCACAACCAACGCGTGAGTGAATGTTGTTTTACGCCGCACACAGACGAGTGACTGAAAGCAGAAAGCACGATCCACGCCGCGAGGGAACGATGATACGCAAACCTCTGTCGTCGAACCTGACCGCCCGACCCCTTCCAGTCGACACATGGTCAACATAGATCCAATTCCGCCCTGGAATTTCCAGGGCTTAACTCGAGTTCATGGGGAAACACGGTATGGAAAACAAAACAAGAACAGTAGTCCAACATATATTTAATATCTGATTATCAACAAATGTCATACTGCTGGGTTAGTTTCATATCAAGAACGTTCAAATAACGCCGAGAACATCAAACTGAGAGGCACCATCATCAAAGAAGTTGCATTACTGATCCTAAAGTATTTATATCAAAAATCGAAAATGTAACAATACACTGTCAATACCTTGACCTCTTTGATAAGCGTTTAGAAGTTGGAAGACCATGAATCCAGGACACTTTTTATGGATAGCAACTTCTTTTACGACGTTTCCGAGCCACTCCTTGCTCCTCTATCATGTGAATTCTTAGTAAGTGCATAGAATAATCTAAGGAAGTTGACTCCGTAAATGCTCTTCCTTATGTGTATCACTTTCATATGCCATTCCAATACTTAAAGTACATACTTATGTATATAACACTATTATGACGAGATAGGATTAATGTACAAATAAAAGCATTTAATGAAGGAGCAAATGGGATTAACAGGAGAGGATTCAGTTAAGTACACGGGGGGTTTAGTGATGACAAGATGATGGCTATTGTGACACAAGCAATAAGACGATCAAGATGTCGATAGTGGTTGATGATGTGATTGTAGCACAGTGGAGTACCCACTGGGTGTGGCATGTCGTAAAAGGGTAGTTCGCCCTTTGACCTGGTACTTCCAACGCTTAACTGACCCTCCAATTAGGATTATCGCAAAACGGTTTGCCTTTGTCCCTTTACAATTCGGACATTTCCAGATTCCTTCCAATCAGGTTTCCGTGACCTAGAATGATTCATGACGCCTGGTAAAAGTTATCATTTCCGGAAAAAAGAAATGTCACTCTTCTTGCCGTGATATTACAGGAACATCTTGTTTGTACACTTCCCAATGTGAGTGATTTGGGTATCAACGAAATATGTGGGAAAGTAAAATACTAAGATCGTAGAATAACGAAACCTTTGACAGGATATATGATGCTTAGAAACAAATGATCTTAATCGGAACGGATCTTTGATTCGAACCGACGATCAGCGTTCAAGAAGTACAATCACAGAGTCATTAGTCATATTGAGTCAGTGAGTTATAAATAATTTCGAAGCGGACATACGTCAGCCACACAGCGACGAAACAAATAACGAAAAGAGTGAATAAAACATGAACGAATAAAGTGAATAAAACATATCCAAACTATAGTAATTAAAAAAATACAATCCCGTACATCGTATTAATTACCATCATGGTTTTTGTTATGCATAAATGAGTCAAGGGACGGTGGGGTACTCTAGTGATTAAAGCTAATTACCAACATGGGTACAATGTGTGAAGCCCATATTTCTGGTGTCCCTCGCTGATATTGCTGGATTATTACAAAAAGCGGCGTAAAACACTACTCACTCACTGGGTCGAAATGATGTGAATAATGCCTTTGAAATTGTATGACTACTTAACGAGCTTATTTATACAGAAACAAATAGCTAACCTGACTATACTGGACATTTGTCTATACAATCTCAGAGTTTATACCGACTTTCACCAACTTGATCATGATAAAACTTATTGTCCAGATGCCATAATCGTTAATCAAGCCTCTAGTGTCACTGGGGCGGTGGGACACTCTGATGGTTAAAGCGTTCGCTCGTCACGCCGAAGATCCGGGTTCGATTGCCCACATAGGTACAATGTGTTAAGCCAATTTTTGGTGTCCCCCGCCGTGGTATTGCTGGAATATTGCTCAAAACATCGTAAAACCAAACTCAAGTTATATGGTTTATCACGTTGTGATGATAATTGGCAAGTATGTACTTACTCTACACATCAATCCATGCTCTGTGACACAACCATTGTTGCTTAAAAGGGCACTTGCGTCTTGTGAGTGTCTTAATATATATTATCACCATGGCAACACCTAACATAAGTTACTATATACATATGGATCACATGACCGAATGAAACAATACATGTTTGTTTGGCGTATCTACAGTTTGTTTGTTGTTTTACACCGCAATCAGCATTATTCAAGTTATTCTCGGGATCCTGTAAAGTATCAAACCAGTCAAGTAATTGATTGGTACTGTGATAAACCTTCAACGTGGTCTGGGTTATGAGGTTACCGAGTCACACCCTCCGGGTAACAAAAGGTGTTGGGGGCCAAGTCAAACCTGTTTACCCACAAGCGTGCCCATAATGAACCCCAACCAATTTTAATAAGAGTCACCAAGGTCAATTTAAAACGACCAAACGTACAAAGTTTCATAAAGTTCATAACTTTTCAGAAATAAATATCATATCGACATATAATCTGCTTTGTTGGGAATAACGTACATGTATGTTTCTTGTGCCTGTAGTTTTCGTTCCATGTTATCTCTCAGCTTGTGTAATAATATTTTTCAGGAGACAAAACACGCGGTACTTAAGACGTCTGGAAAGATTTCTAGTGACATGAACCATTGCTCAAAGGTAGAAATAGCTAACATCCGGTTTCTTCGCGTCGAAGTCTTCCAATCCGGGTTCTTTCACATTCGCATGTCTTCACATCTTGGTATCGATCTCTTTGACATTGTACTTAGAGGGGAAGTCATCCATGTCTATTTCCGGTATTCCTTCCTCCGGCAGCTCCCAGAACCGCTCATCGTCATACAGGTGTTCTGGCTGAGGGTTGTCCCACACTTTCATTTTCAAGATGGCACCTAAAGTGTAAAAAATATTCTTTTGAAACTTCAAAAAAAAGGGCGTTTGTTTACAATGTTTGGGAATTAGGAGCGCCTCCGTGGTCTAGTGGTTGAGCGTCCGCCTGGAGAGTGTAAGGTCCGGGGTTGTATCCCCGACCGCGTCATACAAAAGACGTTACAAGATGGCCCTATGCTTCCGCTTGTCATTAAGTGGTTCGAACTGATCGGCTTGAATAGGGATTAGCTTCTGGACAATGGCTGAGGTTTGAGAGCACGCAAGAGCATTCGGTCTGGTGCATCAAGCATCTATGTCAATGACACATGTTGTAGTCTACCCTGTGTACCACCCGTCGAGTTAGTAGCAACACTGAGGGTGTTGGGGTAGCTACCGGTTTATAAGTCTATATAAGACTCGGGTTTTCAATTATTCTCCTCGTCAGACAGGTACTGCTTTCTGAGCTGTTAATTATTAATCCAAACAAGTGGCCGTCTCCGTGGTCTAATGGTAGAGGGTCCGCCCGGAGAGCGGAAGATCTGGGATTTGATCCCTTGGCCGCGTCATACCAAAAGACGTTAAAAGATCCATTAATTGGATAAAACAAGGACTGGTAAGCATAATGTGTCTGAGTGGGTATCCATGTTAAATTGCGGCATGGTATCTCAATGGGCTTGCGCTACTAAAAGCGGCATTAGTCCAAACTAGTGCATGCACGTGCGCGCACACATACACACACACACACACACACACACACGTTCATGCACTTCGCTAAATAAGTGCCATAATTCTTGAACGCGAAGGTTAAACTCCTCACCTTGGTGCCGCCGCAGTGATCTTAAAATTGTCTGCACAAGATCCGTGCTCATCTGAACTCACCTGTGACTATTCCTCCAGCAATGGCCATTCCAAGCGACAACAGCAATGCGTAGATCTGGAAAGCTGCCTGCTCCCCCGCGGTTCTCCCCAACCCCTGCAGCTCGGGCACAGGATAAGGGGTGCTGGAGTTACCCACCTCAGGTAGGGGGGAGCGGGCGGGGAATATCTCATACAGGCTGCAAACAGGAACTTCTTACAATACTGATGGAAATGAATATCGTCACGCACAAAGAGTTATTGAACATTAAAATACGCTGCAGTGTTGTGTCAAATAATTTATATCAACAAAACATAAAACACAAAACAAATTCCCTTAAAAGCTTCTTTGGGAGCCATTTAAAAGTTAGAGTAATAAATACGGGTAAGACATATGGAGGAACAACTTTATTAAAATTAGGCACGATGTTCCGGGTAGGTTCGTAGGTAATCTCTTAAAGCGTCCATCACGATAATCTTACATGCCTCTGCGTCTAATACTACAGTACTGAATACAGCTTATCTCTACCAGTTTAAAGAGAGTTATAAAGTGTTAACGTTATAAAAATAATTTTACGAATCAGAAAATCAACATCAGTATGTACCTTTCACCATAAACATTTTCTGTGGCTAGGGCGGCAGTCACTGCACCACCAATTCCCGCCATAATTCCCGGCATGCCGTGCAAGTTGTTTACTCCGCAAGTGTCGTGGATCTTTAGTTTGGCGGCGATGAAAGGCTGCGAAGAAGAGAAACGACGTATTACGTGATTCTCCCTGGTTCTTGAGGAACAATCAACCACTCCTACTTACATGGCTCAATGTTAAGATGGGTTGTGAGTGAGTGAGTGAGTGAGTGAGTGAGTGAGTGAGTGACCGAAATGTAATGTAATGAATATTAAAACACACCGAATCAGCACTTGCCGAATATATTCATTGAAATTACGCTGAAATGAGGGTAGAATTTATTTACTGAACGCATCCAAAGATGTTCAGCTGAGTGATGTGATGCAGAGCCTACATCTCTATCACTTTGGTGAAAACCATGGGCAGCGGAGGCAAAGCAGGATAAAGCGAGAGGAAATACATTCTCCATGTCAGAGACGCTCTGGTATTTGTAAGAGGAATGTTAAACTGTTATAAACTATGGAGTAAAATGATTTAAAACTATGCTATGTTAAGTAGTCTGAAGAAATCAATGCTTTGCCGTTGACAATAGCGTAGCCAATCAAATCAAAGAAACGATGATGTTCTTCTAGCCAATCACAGGACATCAACGTGAAATTACCACGATGTACATTTAGCCAATCATAAAGAGGATCTCAACATGAAATTACCATGAGGTACAGAAAGCCAATCACAGAGAGGATAACAACGCGAACTTACCGAGATGTATTTATAGCCAACCACAGACAGAATACCGGCCACTGACCCGACGACGAGTGCGCCCCAGGGCTCGATGTTCATGTTTGCGCAGGTACCAACTGCAACGCCCCCTGCTAGAGTAGCATTTTGTATGTGTTCCTGCAATCACAGATCGTAGTATGAGTGAGTAAGTGACATGACAATTTAACGTGGTGAGAAATCCAAGAATCTGAGAGTATAAGAAATTTACCATCGCTGTTTCATACTGATCACAAGGGAACTGGAAACCACGTTCAGCGAATCCACCTGTGGCTAAGGGACGCAACTCTTAAGCCATAGCGCATGATAATATTGCCATATGTCTTTTGTTGTCATTCAACATGTTTATTTTAGGATCCCTGATGATAACGTTGTACCAAAATAAACCTCTTTAATTCATTGTAAGATTTCATAACCCACTACCCCCATGGGGAATCCGAGTGTTGGTGCCAAGTAATATAACTTATGTCTGACTTCAGTGTCGACTAAAATGGATGGGCTGGAAAGGTTCAGAAACCTGGTTGAATGCATGTGATTATGAACCGATGGCGGGTATCTTCGCTCACGCTTTCAATCGCTGGTTTTCCATGTTTCCGTCGTGACGCAGCTGGATTGTTGCTGACGCTGTCGTAAAACAACATGCATTCCCTAACTCGTGATCCCCCTAGAACTCACCATTTCAAATTTCCCATGCTTTTCAACAGCAGCTGACATGGCAAACGTTACACAGCAACAGGCAGCCAATGAGAAGTAAGTATTTAATATAGCCCGGTGCTGTTCGTCTCCTTCCGCAGCACCGCCATTGAAGCTAGGCCAATACATCCACAAGAAAAGAGTTCCTAGGAGCAAAGATAACAGTTAAAAGCTTTTTTTTAATTTCATTATGTGGTTTACTGATCCATCGAATCATGATTATTGGAAAAAGAGATTTCCATGTTAAAGTGGTTTTTATTACCACCGAACAAATAATCAAAACTGAAATAATACCCTTGCCTCAAGTCGTCACAACGAATATTTTTCAAAGATTTACAGTGAATGAGTGAGTATTGTTTGACGCCGCTTTTTGCAATAGTCAAGCAATATCAAGGCTGAGGACACCAGAAATTGGCTTCACAAATTGTACAAATGTGAGGAATCGAACCCGGGTCTTCGACGTGACGATCGAACATGTTAACTACTGGGCTACCCCAGGGTCCCTATAGATATTCCAAGTAGTGTGCTGCAATGTTTTAACGAAATCGACAAAAGATCATTTGATCTAATATTTTTTCGCATTCTTACCACCAACTTTCGTTTACAAAGAAAAAATAAAAGTGACTTTTGTTGTTGTTTTTAACATTATCATTTCCACCTTTTTCCCATGGTTTCTTGAAAAATATCCGTGAACCAAGAAATTAGGTGGTGAGGTAAAATGGCGTTGCACTTATACAGCGACATGCATGCACACATGTGAGTGCGTGCGTGCGTCCTTGCGTGTGTGTGTGGCTGCTTATACTAGTCCGGATTGATGCGGATTTTACAGTGTTAGCCCACTGAGATACCAGTTTAACATGAATACCCCACTCAGACACAGTATACTTAATGTCGAGCTCCAGCCAGGGTAACAATGAATACCATCTTTTAAGATCTTTTGGTATGACGCGGGCGGGGATCGAACCCTGGACATTCCGCTCTCCGGGCTGACGCTCTACCACTAGACTACGAAGGCGGTCACCAATTAATTAAAGAAACTTAATTAATCATATGTCGAAATCACTTACCAATCATGGAGAAAAGGTCAGAATGGTACACTGGCCCAGCCTTCTTAGACGTCACGGCTTCCTCGCTATACAGCACACGTGCTGCCGCCAAGCCGAAATAGGCACCGAAAACGTGGACGAACATAGACTCGCCTACATCGGACACCTGGGGGGTAAATATAAAAGGTAATTATAATTCACATTGTTACTTTTTAAAAAAAAAAAGATTTCATTACCGTTTAATTTAACATGACAAAATCAATATGATACATAGCTATTGATATTTTTCTCATTTAAACGCATTGATCGTAAACAACCACCTTACCCGCACCTGTGCACTTAAAGACATCGTGTTTTTGCTTTAAAACAAAACAGGACATGACGAGGCCACTGAAACGTGTGTTGGATTACCTCAAGTGTCTTGTCACTTTTAGCACCCGATTTGGTAGATATTAGAGATTTACGAACTTCCGTTAATGTTGTCTGATATTAATAATTATTGCATGTTGTAAAGTGTTATTAGACCCAAAGTATTGCCTTTGGCATACTGCCAACCTCAAACTGTGTGCTTCAATATAATTTATTGATTCTTCATTGATCTTGTGCGGTTATTTACTGATTTCACAATTTAGTTCTGTAGGTATCGATTTCCGGGCTAAAAACTTATTATGCGGCATTCGGCAATATCAAAGGTGTCTAACTGTTTATAACAGTATATGACAACATATGACAGTATATGACACCATATAACAGTATATGACAACATATAACAGTATATGACAACATTATAACCGTATATGACAACATATAACAGTATATGACAACATATAACAGTATATGACACCATATAACAGTATATGACGACATATAACAGTATATGACAACATATAACAGTATACGACAACATATAACAGTATACGACAACATATAACAGTATATGACAACATATAACAGCATATGACAACATATAACAGTATACGACAACATATCACAGTATATGACAACATATAACAGAATACGACAACATATAACGGCATATGACAACATATAACAGTATATGACAACATATAACAGTATATGACAACATACATCAGTATATGACTGTACGTAATCCCATTGTGCACTGGTGGCCCAGTCGTCTAAGGCTCCGCAATACACTGTGCAGAGTTGCGTCCCTTGGACACGCCAGAAACCTATGATCGTAGGTTCGAATCCCGGTTCGTCCCGATTATGTTTCTAGGTTTGTCAGCACCATACGTGCTCGTATGTTTCGTGGTAAACGTCTTAGACCTGCATCACTTCGGGACACAGTATGCTCACATGTCGTGATAATTGGAATACTGCAGAGAGCGGCGTTAAACAACAAACAAACCTATAAACAAATCAACTGACACCGTATCGATGTGAAGAATTAGGGATAATTCAAGGATTTATTCGATATTTTATGGAAACTTTTTTTCACAATTAAAATCGTACATGAATAGGCTCATATCCTGGTACTGACGATAATATGAAAGTTTCATAGGACGCCGGATTGAACGTGGCAAACGCCTGAAATTATCCTTTCGAAACACAATATTTCCGTGCAAGCATAGGTTTCCTCATTGTTAACGACCCTACAGATCCAGAGCGTTGATATATATTCTGTAGTTTCAGCCTGATACACAAGATATAGAATGGGGGAGGAGTTTGAGCCTGATACTCAAGAATTGGATGTAGGACACAGGGAGTATTCTGAAAATAAATAAAAGGTGAAGAAATTTATAGTGATTTAAGAGAGGCACCTGAAGGTTTTTTTCCAATTAAAGTTAAATATTAAATTGTAAAAAAAATAACTGGTACTAAACAATCTGACACACTATATTGGGGATTGTTCTTAACATGACATTTCAGAATAGAAAATGAGAAAGAGGGGTAGATAACCTTTATAATACAAGGTTATGATCTTTTCTGTAATCATCTTAATTCAAAACATGTTAAAGTGGAGTCATTTGGGCTCGGTAGGGGAGTTAGCTGAGCCTAGAGTCAGTGTTTTGAGCCTGGCTAGGGGAGTCATGTTAACCATGGCCCATATGACTCTTTGGTCAAATTTAGGGGGAGTCGTTTGAGCCTTCTACACCGGGTCAAAATAGTCTTCGAGAAGCAAATTGAATGTTTTATCGTAAGCCACCGAAATAAAAATCACACCAACAGATGCTCATGTTCGTCCACCGTGAAAATCCGGGTTACAAATGATCTTCAGCAACCCATGCTTGGCCCCTGTGAAGATCAGGGTTACAATTGGTCTTCAGCAACCCATGCTTGGCCCCCGTGAAGATCCGGGTTACAATTGATCTTCAGCAACTCATGCTTGACCCCCGTGAAGATCCGGGTTACAATTGATCTTCAGCAACCCATGCATGGCCCCCGTGAAGATCCGGGTTACAATTGGTCTTCAGCAACCCATGCTTGACCCCCGTGAAGATCCGGGTTACAATTGATCTTCAGCAACCCATGCTTGGCCCCCGTGAAGATCCGGGTTACAATTGGTCTTCAGCAACCCATGCTTGACCCCCGTGAAGATCCGGGTTACAATTGGTCTTTAGCAACCCATGCTTGTCTCCCCAAGTGAAGATCCGGGTTACAATTGGTCTTCAGCAACCCATGCTTGCCCTCCCGTACAGATCTGGGTTACAATTGGTCTTCAGCAACCCATGCTTGGCCACCTTGAAGATGGGGGTTACAGTTTGTCTTCAGCAACCCATGCTTGACCCCCGTGAAGATCCGGGTTACAATTGATCTTCAGCAACCCATGCTTGGCCACCTTGAAGATGGGGGTTACAGTTGGTCTTCAGCAACTCATGCTTGACCCCTGTGAAGATCCAGGTTACAATTGGTCTTCAGCAACCCATGCTTGACCCCCGTGAAGATGGGGGTTACAATTGGTCTTCAGCAACCAATGCTTGGCCCCCGTGAAGATTCGGGTTACAATTGATCTTCAGCAACCCATGCTTGGCCCCCGTGAAGATTCGGGTTACAATTGATCTTCAGCAACCCATGCTTGTCTCCCCAAGTGAAGATCCGGGTTACAATTGATCTTCAGCAACCCATGCTTGTCTCCCCAAGTGAAGATCCGGGTTACAATTGGTCTTCAGCAACCCATGCTTGGCCCCCGTGAAGATCCGGGTTACAAATGATCTTCAGCAACCCATGCTTGTCTCCCCAGTGAAGATCCGGGTTACAATTGGTCTTCAGCAACCCATGCTTGTCTCCCCAAGTGAAGATCCGGGTTACAATTGATCTTCAGCAACCCATGCTTGTCTCCCCAAGTGAAGATCCGGGTTACAATTGGTCTTCAGCAACCCATGCTTGCCCTCCTGTACGGATCTGGGTTACAATTGGTCTTCAGCAACCCATGCTTGGCCACCTTGAAGATGGGGGTTACAGTTTGTCTTTGTCCTTGTCGTCATTGTCACAGTTTGCTGTGCACAGTTGCTTCCCAGGGTTTCCCTAAGAAATGGGTTCGAATGCTGTTCTTGCCCGGGTTTTGTTTCCTGGTTTGTCAGTACAATACCCGTGTTCGTGCTAAACGTCCAAGATCTGCATAACTCAATGATATAACCAATGATATGCTAAAAGTGGTATAAAACGAAGCTTCTCACTCAACATTACAGGACTGAACATTGCCAATGTGAACCTTAACAACAAATTGAACAAATTAACTCTGAACTCCCACCCTGAAGGGCCCAAAATGATGCTACTCACGTGGAACTTCTCAACACAGATCCACTCGTTAATCTGGAGAAGAACAACCTCGATAAGAGTCATGACGAGGAGTTGGAGAGGGGAGATCTTTCCCAGGAGGGCCCCGAATGATATCAGCACCCCAGCTGCCGAGAAGTCAGCTGACATCATTCTGAAACAGGGGGGGATAATTCATGTCGATATGACCCAACGCAATCTCAATAGCCCTTCTTAATCCCCTTGGTCCCCTGGATCAGTGTATGGGGCAATCCATCTTTGAACAGGGTGTACTAGTTTCACTAGTTCACGTGACTATCACAATACACAACACAATCTGCGGGTACAGTTTAACGTTTTCGAAAACGATATGTTTTTTGGTGATCACTAGTCCTGGAAAACATACCTATGCATCACCAAATGACTGAGAATGAATATATACTGAACAGGAAAAGTTAGGAATCCGGAATATTTTAATGGACATATTTTTTAAGTGAAGACAGACACAATTTCAATAAAATATTCCAAAACATAATCATGATCCTTGATCGTGTTTGTTCGGTGTATTATCACATGCCAAAACAATATTTTGGAAATGAGTTACAAATTGTGTGAGTGGCGGGGGCTTCGGGTCGGGCAAGACATTCCCCTTTACGCGAAAAGTTTGGTGGCATCACTGATTTTCGTTACCCCAAGCACATTATTTCGCCCGCTATTTTTTCTTTTACACAAACTGGAATCTTTTTCGTCGGATAATCGAGACCTGTTGTTTTCTGGCGTTCACGTTCTATATTTACATTTACTGATTACGTATGATATTTATGGCTTCAAAGTATTTACTCGAACTAAACAAGCGCACTCTGATTTTTGATTGCGCTGTGGTCCTCTGTAAACAGTTCATATTGTTTTCATATATCAATGTTTTCATTTTATGTGTTTAATATTCGATAATAACCCCACCCTCGTATCATTTGATATGAAATAGATCAACTCTCATTGATCAAAGTAGCACATCCTTAGGTACACCACGTAGAATTGATACTTGACTCGTGTTCATATATTTGATATATAAAGATACAATAGTGACAATTTTTATTTTATCTTTCCTTATTTACCGTTTGTTTTCAAAAAGGCCGAATAGTTTATCAAATGCTTAACTTTTGACAGAAATATACCTATTATACCGTAATATAAGACCGCTTCGGGATAAATAATAAAAAAACATGAAGAAAGAGGCGTGGTTTATTCCACGATAATTCACGATTCATTGTGTTTTAGTACGCGATAAGCAGCGCCTAAGAGTCGTTAATTTGTTAAATACACCAAACTGATTTATTATGATGTGTGTATTTAAATTGTACGACATGTCCCACAGGCGCAAGGATAACGGCGAAATTAATCATTCTTCAGTAATTTTCCCTGGGCATTACATACTACTCATGTTTCATATAGATAATCAGATTTGTCATTTAAGATACACTTGACATAAACGACTCAACTTGTGAAAGGCATGGTAAGATATGTCATCCTGTTTAAATATACATGAATCATGAATACAGTAAACTACGTTTATAACGAACACGCTTATAACGAACTGGCGGATATTACGAACTCTTTTTGGTCCCGTCCATATGCTGTATATATGCTGTATATACTAGTATATATGCTTATAACGAACTACGGTTATAACGAACAAAAATTAGTGGTCCCTTTGAGTTCGTTATAACCGTAGTTTACTGTATAAAATCATGTCCAAATCAAAAGTGGTGTAGTACATATTTTTTTTTTCATGCTGAGTCAGTAGTTCATTCCAAGTGTCCAGTTGTTTCCACTGCGGACAAATAACAAGGCAACGTCATACAACCGCCTTGTCGTAAATGATTGACAAGCAGACCGACTGATCTCATATCTCCGCTTGAGATCAGGGCTCATGTGCACAAAGCGATCCTCGAGCTACAACTCCCCAATACTTTAACAGATTGGCGGAAGCGCTAAGGTCGCGTTGTGCAAGTGGTTCCTGGAAACCAGTATGATTCTATATTTCTTTAGAAAAAACACAGAAGTACGTTCCTCGTGAATCAAGGATCGAACTCGATAATCAAGGATCGGACTCGTTAATCAAGGATCGGACTCGTTAATCAAGGATGGGACTCGTGAATCAAGGATCGGACTCGTGAATCAAGGATCGGACTCCTTAATCAAGGATCGGACTCGTGAATCAAGGATCGGACTCCTTAATCAAGGATCCGACTCGTTAAACAAGGATCGGACTCGTGAATCAAGGAACGGACTCGTTACTCAAGGATCGGACTCGTTAATCAAGGATCGGACTCGTGAATCAAGGATCGGAGTCGTTACTCAAGGATCGGACTCCTTAGTCAAGGATCGGACTCGTTAAACAAGGATCGGACTCGTTAACAAGGATCGGACTCGTTAATCAAGGATCGGACTCGTGAATCAAGGATCGGACTCGTGAATCAAGGATCGGACTCCTTAATCAAGGATCGGACTCCTTAATCAAGGATCGGACTCCTTAAACAAGGATCGGACTCGTTAATCAAGGATCGGACTCGTGAATCAAGGAACGGACTCGTTACTCAAGGATCGGACTCGTTAATCAAGGATCGGACTCGTGAATCAAGGATCGGAGTCGTTACTCAAGGATCGGACTCCTTAATCAAGGATCGGAATCGTTAAACAAGGATCGGACTCCTTAATCAAGGATCGTTAATCAAGGATCGGACTCGTTAATCAAGCATCGGACTCGTTAATCAAGGATCGGACTCGTGAATCAAGGATCGGACTCCCTAATCAAGGATCGGACTCCTTAATCAAGGATCGGACTCGTTAAACAAGGATCGGACTCGTGAATCAAGGATCGTTAATCAAGGATCGGACTCGTTAATCAAGGATCGGACTCGTGAATCAAAGATCGGACTGGTTAATCAAGGATCGGACTCGTTAATCAAGGATCGGACTCGTGAATCAAGGCTCGGACTCGTGAATCAAGGATCGGACTCCTTAAACAAGGATCGGACTCGTTAATCAAGGATCGGACTCCTGAAACAAGGATCGGACTGGTTAATCAAGGATCGGACTTCTTAATCAAGGATCGGACTCGTTAAACAAGGATCGGACTCGTTAATCAAGGATCGGACTCGTTAATCAAGGATCGGACTCGTGAATCAAGGATCGGACTCGTTACTCAAGGATCGGACTCCTTAGTCAAAGATCGGACTCGTTAATCAAGGATCGGACTCGTAAATCAAGGATCGGTAATCAAGGATCGGACTCCTTAATCAAGGATCGGACTCGTTAATCAAGGATCGGACTCGTTAATCAAGGATCGGATTCCTTAATCAAGGATCGGACTCGTGAATCAAGGATCGGACTCGTTACTCAAGGATCGGACTCGTTAATCAAGGATCGGACTCCTTTATCAAGGATCGGACTCGTTACTCAAGGATCGGACTCCTTAATCAAGGATCGGACTCGTGAATCAAGGATCTGACTCGTGAATCAAGGATCGGACTCGTTAATCAAGGATCGGACTCATTAATCAAGGAACGGACTCCTTAATCAAGGATCGGACTCGTTAAACAAGGATCGGACTCGTGAATCAAGGATCTGACTCGTTAATGAAGCATCGGACTCGTTAATCAAGGATCGGACTCGTGAATCAAGGATCGGACTCGTTACTCAAGGATCGAACTCCTTAATCAAGGATCCGACTCGTTAATCAAGGATCGGACTCGTAAATCAAGGATCGTTAATCAAGGATCGGACTCCTTAATCAAGGATCGGACTCGTTAATCAAGGATCGGACTCGTTAATCAAGGATCGGATTCCTTAATCAAGGATCGGACTCGTGAATCAAGGATCGGACTCGTGAATCAAGGATCGGACTCGTTAATCAAGGATCGGACTCGTTAATCAAGGATCGGACTCGTTAATCAAGGATCGGACTCGTTAATCAAGGATCAGACTCGTTAATCAAGCATCGGACTCGTTAATCAAGGATCGATTAATTAAATCGTAATTCCGGGCGGTAGGGTAGCCTAGTGGTAAAGTGGTCGCTCGTAACGCCGAATACCCGATTTCGATTCCTTACATGGGTACCACGTGTAAAGACCATTTCGGGTCTCACCCGCGCTGATACAACTGTAATATTGCTAAAAGCGGCGAAGTACCAAACATACTCTCTCGTAATCCCTTTAAGCGCGTAAGTTATTCTCTAAATATCCTAATCAATTGTTGAATAGTATGGAAACTACAGTGACCTAATTTCTCTGCATGTGGGTAGCTTGCATAGTATGCGTGATGGCTTTTTAAAGAGTTGTACATTCCTCGGATCAAGTACCTGTAATTGTATTGAGAGATAAGACGGCCCTGTGAGACATACTGTCACGCACGAGAGTAAACAACAACTCGGAGACTGATAATGGGGTGTGCGCCCATCTGTAGTAACAGCGCTTCTGTCCTTGACGTGTAATCTCCCTGGTTCTTGGGGAACAATCAGCCATCCCTACTTACGTTGTTCAATGTTAGGATAGGTTGTGAGTGAGTGAGTGAGCGAGTGTGGGGGAGTGAGTGAGTGAGTGAGTGAGTGAGTGAGTGAGTGAGTGAGGTTTAACGCCGCTTTGAACATTTTTTTAGTGATATCACGGCGTGTACACTTACGACGGAAAGACATTCCGAAGTGATGCAGGTGTCAGGCGTTTACAACTTTGGTAAAAGTCTCGAGCACTGGTGTGGTGCTGACAAAACCAAGAAACAAAATTCGAACCAGCGATCATAGATTTCAGGTACGCCAAAGTGACGCATTGTTGTACAGTGAGTTGCGGCGCATAAGACGACCGTGCCATCTGCTATACGGTGTCTGCTAAACCATGACGACGATAAACTGTGTTTCTTTGTATCATTAAAATGAGCCAGTCCTACTTTACCAGTCAAGGCAACAAAACATGCACATTTCTATGAACATATGTCATACAAGGGTTTACCTTAAAGAAAATATAAGTACTTAAATATTTCAATTATCGCAACGGGTGGTTTATGATCATAGGCTCGTCTGACTTGGTTTAAAGTCCGTTTACAAAAACCTTACATTAGTAGGATTCTTTACAAAATGTACAATCTCACGACGTATCTGAGTGTGTTAATACCAGTATCAGTGCAACTGTGTTGTTGTTTGTTTGTTTGTTGTTTAACGCAATATTCATACTGACGGCGGTTTGTAAATAATCGAGTCTGAACCAGACAAACCACTGATTGACATCATGAGCATCGATCCACGCAATTGGGATCGATGACATGCATGAACCAAGTCAGCGAGCCTGACCGAGAACCTGTCGAAGAGTAACATACTAATCGACGTGAGTCATGTACCGAACGACACACATCGTAATCATGTATATAAGATAGTGATCGTACAGAACAAGGAAGAGTGAGTGAGTTGGGTTTAACGCCGCTTTTAACAGTATTCCAGTTATATCACGGCGTGTCAGCTTAATGTGGGAGGAAAGCCCGAAGTGATGCAGGTCTCAGACGTTAACCACTTCGGTGAAACCCACGAGCACGGGTATGGTGCTGACAAACCTAGAAACATAATCGGGGCGAACCGGGATTCGAACCCACAATCATAGGTTTCTGGCGTGCCCAAGGGACGCAACTCTGCACAGCGAATCGCGGCGCCTTAGACGACTGGGCCACCCGTGCCCCCAGAACAAGGAAGAACGAGGCATGGTTATTTCACGATAACACATTGTTCTATCATGACGTCATTTCCGGAGATTCGAACATGCACTCGCAACTTGATGACGTCGTCCACTGGACGACGGTTTTTTCAGAATGTAGTGTCTAGTGTGTTGTTCCCCATAGATGTAGCTCGGCAACGCAGATAAACGCTATGGCCGAACGAGCGCATCCAAAAGCGGGAGAGATATGACAATCGGTATTGGGAGAAAAGGTGCAGGTAATCGACGAGAATATGTGGGAAATACCCACCCGTGCATAAAATGGACTTGTCCGACATTGCCGGATTCTATTGAGGGGAGTCATCATTATGTAAATACGCCCCTTCATTTTTATAATGCTTCTGAAAGGTTGTTTTCATAACTTAAATTACAGTTTTGAGTGAATATGGTTTTATGCCCCTTTTAGCACTATATCAGCAATATCACTACGGGTGACATGAAATGGGCTTGACACTGTAGGGACTCGAACCAGGATCTTTGGCGTGACGAGCGAACGCTTTAAACACTAGGCCATCCCATCACTCCTAATTACAGTGTTTATAAAGTAAATAGTAACAGATTTAACCAAGACCTGTGTCATGAAATCGATTTTATATCCCCCCAAGGTTCATATCTTAATAAATAAATTGCAAGTGATTCCAAGGCATTTCATTGGTAAATCAAGTAAATGTTTTCATGAACTGATGCTTTGGGCCACATCCTCTACCGTATTAATGCTTCCTTATCGGCAGATAAAAGTGTGGGTGGGGCTTGTGTTGCATTATTGGGCTGAATGATGTCACTGATTTCGTATCGATGTCACTGTGTTTTGTGTGTTAACGCTCAAATATTATTAGAACGCCTCCGTGGTCAAGTGGTAGAGGGTCCGCCCGGAGAGCGGACGGTCCGGGTTTCGATCTCCGGCCGCGTCATACCAAAATACGTTACTTGTTGTTACCCTGCCTGGCGCTCGGCATTAAGGCACAAACACAAGGACTGGTCGGTTTGGAGTCAGTATACTGTGTCTGAGAGGGGTATTCCTGTTACACTGCGGCATGTTATCTCAGTACAAGCATCCACACACTCAGTACAAGCAGCCACACACACACAAACACACACACACACACATACACACACACGTGCATGCACGTCGCTTTATAAGTGCAATAGTCTTGGCCACGACACGACCTCACCTCACCTCACATCTTATCTGTAAGTTAATATTGTTGATTTATATATTTACAAGAACGTACTTCTATATATTTGTGTGTTTATAGAGGTATGACCTTAAAGTGGTGTGTCCACTTTGCGTTAATCGCCTTGAATGATTGACACCGTGTGCAAGCAGGTTTCTACGTTTATATCTATCTAAACGAAAAACTACTTTTAAGACGATTCTTAAAACCCAATAATATATGCTTCTCGCAACACTAAGATCGTGATACAACGGAGACCAGTCATCTTCATGATTGTACAGTGCTATTTAAGAGGGACTGGTCAGTTCTACGTACAGTCTCGCGTCAGTTTCACGTCAGTTTCACGTCAGTTTCACGTCAGTTTCACGTCAGTTTCAAGGTTACAGAAAATGTTTAACGTTAATGCAATTCAATAACCAGTCTTGATTATCCGCCAAAACAAATTATATTTGGGTAGAAATAAAGATAACTGTAAAAAAAAATATGAATGGACCACAATAAAAAAAATTCTCAAATCAAAACACCTTACAAAAATTAAAGTCTGGACAGAGTTATGGTTCTTACTCTTGGACGTAGAGCTTGAACTTCTCCCCGGTCGTGATGTCAATGTGCAGCAGGCCCCGGATGATTGTCGTCCACTGAATGGCGAATGCAGCCACGAGGAAGTTGAGGCCGACGGAGCTGTAGCCGTACCTCTTCAGGAACGTCATGAGGAAGCCGAAGCCCACGAAGATCATGACGTTGACATCCTGGAAGTCTGAGAGAGAGATGATCAAAACGTTAAACCAACACAAATAAAATGCCAGTGCTTCCATGAAAAAAACCATATAATTTAGGCAAAGCCTACTTATGTTTCCTGATTGGCCAATAACAGAATGGGCGGAGCTTGTGCTGAACGATCATACTAATTTCGAATCCTGTTTTAATTTGTGTGTGTTAATGTTTAAATAAGCAGTCTGTGAACTTATTATACATGACATATTGATTTTGGAATGATTTCATTGTGTTTTTTGTGTTTATAGCTTTTTTTATAGCGTAGGAACCAGTGTACACACTTTGCGTAAATCCGCTACGTTGTGACGTCTGAATTTTTACACATAATGAGATGCTGCTCATAAAAGAAACATTGAATTTTTTTCCTATCAAAACTGTTAACAGACCGGCTAGCTACTGTTGAAATATTATTGCTTCTGATAATAAGACCGCCTCCGTGGTCTAGTGGTAAAGTGTCCACCCGGAGAGCGGAAGGTCGGGGGTTCGATCCCCGGCCGCGTCATACCAAAAGATGTTTAAAGATGGTACTTGTTGTTACCCTGTCTGGCGCGCGGCATTAAGGGGATAAACAAATGACTTCGCTTCGGATTCAGTATACTGTGTCTGAGTGGGGTATTCATGTTAAACTGCGGCATGGTATCTCAGTTGGCTAGCACTATGAAATCGGCATTAGTCCGGACAAGCACAAGCAGCCACACACACGCGCATGCACGTCGCTTTATAAGTGCAATAATATTGGACACGACGTTAAACCCCATTTCACCTCACCATCTCACCTTTGAGCAATAAACACGCAAACACCACCCTACTCACTCAATGTAAACGTTTGGTGGCTTGTCCCAAGCAATCTCACACTGTGGTATTGTGGATTTGATTGATACAATGTGGCAAAGCACGTTGAGAGCTGGAATTTTGCGACCAGCACCATGAAGCATCTTCCAGTTAACACTTATTGAGGTGCACGGATGGCCTAATCGTCTAAGGTGCAGAGTTGCGTCCCTTGGGCACGACAGAAACCTATGATTGTGGGTTCGAATCCCGGTTTGCCCCAATTATGTTTCTAGGTTTGTCAGCACCATACCGCGCTCTTGGGTTTCGCCGAAGTGGTAAACGTCTGAGACCTGCATCGCTTCGGGCTTTCCTCCCATATTAAGCTGACACGCCGTGATAAAACTGGAATACTGTTAAAAGCGGCGTTAAACCCAACTCACTCACTCAACACATTAAAAACGTGTGACCGATCTCTTCGAGACATTTTGGATTTAATGGATATTGTCAAGGTCGTATCAAATCAACCCGCAGGTCAAAGTTTAAAATAACAACTATAGTGATGCTAATAATGGAGAGAGTTTCGACAGGTGTCACCTTGAGGGTATTACATCTGTGATCCCTTGCGATAGGAAATATAGTGATTATAATCGTATAAATTCACTCAATCATTTATTCTGCTCGCACACTCACTCACCCTCCTGGCACACTTACTCACTCACTCACTCTGCTGGGACACTCACTCACTCATCCGGCACACTCACTCTACCGGCACAATCTCTCACTCGCTCTTCCCGCACACTCACTCACTCACTCACTCACTCTACCGACTCAGGCACTGGGTGCAACTGCGCCATTAAATATGCAAATCATATTTATTAGCGACGTGGTAACATATGTGCATTCCTTACGCGCATTAGGGCTGAGTTATTACGTCCAAATATTTGGCAAAGCAGAGATGACTAAAGTGATGCATACATTAGTTGGCCTTATTTAATAGCAACCGATCACCCTGTAGCTAGTAGAGACGTTCAGGCCCCTGACTTCGTTGTATGGATGTAATCGGCCTTTAAGAGGCATGTTAGTGTGACAGATTGGTCGTTTCAGCTCATAATGCTGAGAAAATTCAATCATATAAATGAGTTCATTGGATTTATCAAAAAGGACAATATCGGCTTTGTTGGACTATTCCAAAGAATTTTGTATTTATCATTTTGCATGAAGCCCTCTACATATTCTGGATCGTACCATGGATAGACCTCTGTGTCAAAACCACAAGCATGACGAAGACGGTAATAAAAGGACCGAGTCACTACATCATGTCGCTTAAGATACTGTGTTTGTGCCAAAGCTTGGGATCCACTGACAATGTGTTGGACTGTCTCAATAAATTCATGTCATCATCTTCATTTCATATTTACATTTTGATGCAAAATCTCACATTCACGGTTTCGAGTGGGCAGTGACTTGTCCTGAGCAGCAAACAGAAAGCCTTCTGTTTCACTTTTCAGGCCAGCCGACTTCATCCAAGCGGATGGTATGGCACTTCGCTTGGTTGACACTCATTTCTGTGCCGTCCAGCAGAACAGAAACATCAACAAAATCAACATTGTCATTGAGATTATGCCCCACATCCTTTGAAACGGGGAATGCCTTGTTTTCATTATGAGTCTTCACAAGAGAATCATCTCACAAATAGTGAGATGGGTTTTTTCTCAATATGACAGGTCTTGTTTTAAAGTAAAACAAACTTGACGAACAAATTTCAATCTCATAACTTAAAAACGTTTTTTTTTCTTTAACGACCAATGAGGAAAATACATTATAATGAATATGGAATTAAAATACTGTTAACTACATTGTGACCAAACACGAGGACAATAATATTTTGCTGGATGCTGTGCTCTTGAGAGTATGTATATCTCTCGTAAGTATCAACCTCAGCCTCTGTTTATAAACTGTATATTTGTTCGGCTTCAACACTTCTATTTGATATTAGTTAATACTTAATAATAATATAGTGATATTTAATTACTTTTTTTATTTGTCTGGGTTGTCTTTGTCGGATAGCCTAGTGGTTAAAGCGTTTGCTCGTCACGACGATGACCTGTTTTCGATTCCCGACATGTGTACACTGTGTGAAGACCATTTCTGGTGTCCCCCGCCGTGATATTGCTCGAATATTGCTAAAAATCGGCGTAAAACCATACTCACTCACTCACTATATCCAATTCTTTAATATCAGGCTCAAACAACTCCCCCTTTTCTATATCCAATTGGGGGCGGTCGGGTAGCCTAGTGGGTAAAACGTTCGCTCGTCACGCCGAAGACCCGTGTTGGATTCCCGACATGGGTACACTGTGTGAAGACCATTTCAATATTGCTAAAAGCGGCGTAAAACCATACTCACTCACTCACAATACACTTACACAATAAAGGATGCACCATATCCATCCTGACTGAGTTCACAGCACTTAAAACCACTTCGACCTGTGTCCCCTTGAACTTTGTTCCCACATTAAGCTGTCGAACCGTGATATGACTAAACCCAACTCACTCTCTGTTCGATAATGTGAAGCCCATTTCAGTGTCCCCCGCCTTGATACTGCTCGAATATTGCTAAAAGCGGCGTAGAACCATACTCACTCACTCACTCTATTCGATAAAGGTAGTCATCAAGCGATCATTTTATGCACTGCTTTTTCCCCAAACGAGGCTCACATTACCCTGCAAATGTTGCTCACGGAAGTCCTAACTGGTAGTTTTAAAACTGGTGTCCGTCCACATTGACGATTCAAGTCACGAGTTACTTTAGATCTTCTAGCCTTTGGGTACCCCACGATGGCTACCTTTAACAGGTCATCGACTGGCATGTAGGTCAAGGACGGCTGACATACAGCTGCAGGAAGATTCCTAGGTGGTGTAATATACACCCGTAGTAACATCAATAGCCAGGCGCTGGAGCAACGAAGTGAAGAAACTCTTGTAACAACGAGATAATGGCTGTGATAGGCGTGACTTCGCGGACTGGTAATCGTTATAACACGGCCGAAATAGATACAGGCCGTTGCCGTGTTTCACGGTGAAACACGCGAGCACCGCCATGACGCCCACAAACCAAACATTTAAGCGATCCCCGTCCTGTGAGTCAGTTGTGGTCAGTTCAAGTTGTGATCATATTAAGGGGAGGTCGGGTAGCCTAGTGGTTAAAACGTTCTCTCGTCACGACGAAGACCCGGGTTCAGATTCCCACATAGTGAGTGAGTGAGTTTGGTTTTACGCCGCTTTTAACAGTATTCCGGTAATATCACGGCGTGTCAGCTTAATGTGGGAGGAAAGCCCGAAGTGATGCAGGTCTCAGACGTTAACCACTTCGGTGAAACCAACGAGCACGGGTATGGTGCTGACAAACCTAGAAACATAATTGGGGCGAATCGGGATTCGAACCCACAATCATAGGTTTCTGGCGTGCCCAAGGGACGCAACTCTACACAGCGAATCGCGGCGCCTTAGACGACTGGGCTACCCGTTCCCCACATAGATATAATGTGTGAAGCCTATTTCTGGCTCGACTCGGCTCGGCTCCAATAGGGTCGGTCAGAACTTGCACGATTCCATACTTGGACTTGTCTCGTGCTCATGACTGACACACGATGCGTCACATTCTGACACCAGTTATGTACCTGACGTAACAGCGTTATTTTTCCCCGGCTGCTTCTGGATACAAATCAAAGAGTAAACTGGTTTGCGTAATATGATAATGCCTCAAAATTTGATTTCAAATCAATTCATAAACATTGAAAAATTGGACATCAACATTGAAATATTGTCCCATAATGGCGTGCGGTAGTCTGTCTTCAGAACCGGGCGTCGTGTTTATTCGTCACCACTCGCCCCTTTCCGTAACCTGCAAGAAGACTCGTGCACCTATCCATGAATGCGAAAATACGACAAACCAATCAGAATGCGCGTATGATTTCAAGTCAAAGAATCCCTCAGAAATAATTTTTGATTTTACATATGTCTTGCATCTAAAAATATACCCAAGGACACAGTTACATGTGTTCAATCACACTGTATAATTCCGCATGTCCCGATGTGCTTTAAATTGCATCTGAAATGTATATAATATAAGGGGAAATTTATGTGAACCATTACGCAACGAGTTGACAATTGTTTTAGGTATGTCCGTTTGCGCTAAGACGGAACCCGGTC